GATTTCACACGTGAACTTTTTTTTTCCCCACCAACCTTCTGCTGTTTTAACGTAATTAAATTCACCAGAACTTTTATTCCATATCAAAGGGTGTGGATATATATGTACATTCTAAGAGTTACAAAGTGGTTAAAAGTCATACAGACTACTTTTATTATTGAGAGGCATATGCAATTGAGGGTGCTGATGTTGGTTCTTTAGAAATGTGCGACTTGATGTTTAAAATCCACACTAGAACTGGTTGCTTAAGTTGAAGCCTACTGTTGCATCGCTTTTGATTCATTATTCTCGAAATTCTCTACTTGTTTTGTCTTAACGCGCTTGCCGTAGAACCAGAGGTGTCCGGAGTCCAAAGCTGTGGCCTCCGAGCAAAAACAGTTTAACCAACATGGGAAACGCGCGAAGCTTTATTATTGCGCCGCTATCGGTTGGTTGTTTGTATTTAGGTTATATATACATTTACCGCTCACATAAGCTGCTAGATAAGAATGTGCTAAATAGCGACAAACTTCCAAGTTTAGTGTATCTTTACATGAAATACCTGAGCAGAGCTGTAACGCGCAGGAAAGGGCAGCTGTATGCGGCACGCGCCTCGGGAGCGCGCGCTGTCGTTTACACGGTCCTTAATTGCAGGTGAGCAGCATGAAGAAAGCTGTTTAAAGGAAGAGCAGGTAGCTGTGGAACATTTAGTTTTCAGATGGTTTGTCTTTGCTGTTTTTAAGGCTGGACGGATCCTTGCTGAGGAGATTCTGCTGCGCAGCAGGATATGGTTGGGATTATCCGGACACCGAATACAGAGACATCCCGCTGTGTTTCCCGGAGGTTCTGTGCTCCAGACTCATGCTCATGGTGTTAACTGATCGCAACTTTAGGCTCAACCCAGCAGGTACGAGGAAATGTCACAGTGGACAGACTAAATCAGGGGTGTGCAACTCCAGGCCTTCAGGGCCTGTTTCCTGCAACATTTAGATCCATCATTGGTCCAACACACCTGAATCAAATGGTTGAATTACCTCCCTAGTATGCAACATGCAATCCTTTTAATTATCTGTATAGTTAATACAGGTGTGTTAGGTCAAGGAGATATCTAAAAGTTGCAGGATACAGGCCCTCCAGGACTGAAGTTGCACACCCCTGGACTAGACCATTAATAACCTGACAACAGCCAGATGCATGTCTCGCTCCGCCTACTGTAGAGCTGGGCGGAGCGAGACATGCATCTGGCTGTTGTCAGGTTAGACCATTAAAGGAATATTCAATAAACGTTGAACCTGTTAAATATATTTCACGTTACAAACATAAATATCATGGACTATGTGGATGTTTTAGCAAACCAGACTAACAGAAAGAAGGCAGTGCAGTAATTTGCAACCCCTCCCCCCCATTAGAAAAAAATAAATATCATGAATGCTGTGTATTCAGTTCCATTTATGCACCCGAAATAAAATCCAGTCCACTTTTATGTTCTTTTAGTATAATTCAGCGGTCCTGTCTCAGGGGTTTGAAGATGGAGAAAAGAAGGCAACAGCATTAGGACAGCATCAAGGAACAGAGCACAGAGCAGACAGGTCAGAGATTAAATGTTGAAGATAAAACGAGGGTTAAAACAAAAAGTGTTTAAATCCTATCACAAAGTATTTAACTAAGTAGCATTTTACTCCATGATCTGAAAAAAAGATCTGAAATTCGTTAAGACATGGCTTTGCACCTGTACCGATAATATAAGCACCAAAGACAAGCGCTGCATGTCCAAGAAACTGGTCAGAGAAATCTGTTCTGATTTGATGGAACTGGAACTTATTGGGAATATACAAGGGTTAGCAGTTCAAATTGTACTGCAAAGTGTTTCTACGGACTTCCTTTGTTGAGAAAAAGCATTCCAAGCACATTATGTTGCAGCCACTGAATCTCGAAGCAGGAATGACGGCATGTTCACTGTTAATGGGATTAATGTAAATAAGGGGACCTGAATACAAATACAGTGAGGAAAATTAGTATTTGAACAACCTGCAATTTTGCAAGTTATCCCACTGACAAATCATGGAGGGCTCTGACATTTTCTTCTTTTCCCGGAACAACTCCTTGGTTATCCTGGCTATGTGCTTTAAATCATTTTCGGGTTGTGGATGGGTCTTCCAATATTCTAAATTAAGGAAGGAGGTTGTTCCTTCACCTTAATACAGTGCAGTCGTCCTGTGCTGGAAACCACCCCCCAAAAAATGATGCTTCCACCCCTATGCTCCACAGTAGTGATTGGACATCTGAAGCCAGTAAAACTGGGGGATGTCTAACAAAGCCCTGCTTTAATGCTTCAATTCAATTAGGTTCACAAAGCATGCTTGTAGTCCCAGTGGAGAGGAAAACATCTCTTTTAACCGGAAGAAACCTCCAGCAGAACCAGGCTCAGTGTGAGCGGCCATCTGCTGAGGCCGACTGGGGTTCAAGGAGACAGAAGCAGAGATACAATAAGCAGCTGTATGTGTGTTTCCTGTCCAGGAAACACACAGCCAGGCAGACAAGCTCCTAGCAAGCTTCCATGTCAGAGGATGAAGAGAGCACATCCAGCCAGTCACAGTCAGAGAAACAGGACTACACTGAAAAACAGGCCGATATGGAACATCTATAAACAAAGGTGCTGATTGCTTGACCAGGAAGAAGCGATGCTACGCATTACTGTTAACATGTCACTGCTTATTTTCTCATGTCGGATTTCAAAGTAAAAGTGCAAAGAAACTTTCCGCTTTGTGGGTTGTTGTAGGTTGTTGGGTTACAAATCAGCAGAGATACAGCAGCATACAGTATAATAATAATTACACATGTATATAACAAAAACCTTTTTTTTTTGACAATATTAGACACATTGCTGTTTACTGATTTTTTAAATATGAGGGCTGTCATAATGTCTGTGCTACAGTAGATGTCACTAGTGAGCAATGAATGAAGCATCAAGTAATGAATCTTTAGGTATGAAGGCTTCATTGCTTTTTGAGGCTTCATTTTGATCACTACTCCATAGTAGGGGTGGTTTTTTGGGGGGGATTCTGCATTCTTCTTTCTACAAACACAGCAAGTTTAAATTAGACCATAATGTTTGATTTTAGTCTCATCTGACCACGTAACTTTTTCCTATGACTTCCTCTGGATTACCTCAATGATCATGAGGAAACTTAAGACAAGTCTGGACCTGTGCTGACTAAAGCCATGCATGATTTTAAACCATGATGTCTTAGTATATTACCAACAGTAACCTTTGTAACGGGGGTCCCAGCTCTTTTCAGGTCATTGACCAGCTCCTCCTGTGTAGCTCTGGACTGATTCCTCACCTTTCTTATGCTACATTCAGACCGCAGGCTGCAGAGGCAGCAGATGCAGCTAGTTTACATTTAAAGTCAATGGTTGATGTGCATTAAGGCACAGCAATAGGTCCCGCTGAGCAGCTGAAGCCGCACCTTGAGAGCTTCTGAGCAACTGAAGCGTGCAATGTGCTTCAAAAACAGCAGCTGCTGGATATGGAATAATTTAACTTTTGCTGCTCGACGCCCCACATCCACCAATCAGAGAAGCTGATCTGGGAGCTGGCAGGGAGAGACACACAGCACTGCTGATGTAGATCGCTATGGTCACTGCTCTGAAACAGTTTATGAATGTGTAAATTAACTTCAAATGTAGAAACTTGCCGGCAAAATATGTTAAATTTTATCATTCTGGTGCCTGCAATTTGGATTATGTATGTGAAAAACACCTTCCAATCGCAGCGAACAGTAGTGGAAAACCGCAAAGAGGCTGGCGGGCCAGAGGCTGCTGTGGAACGTGATTCCTAGTGACTGTGCCCTGCCGCTGTACAGGGGTCTGAGCGGCTCTGACAGCAAAATATTTGAAGTCAGGATCGTAATCTCGATGAACTGACTGTGCAGATGAAGTTTTCAGGTGGACTTTCTCACTTAGCATATTAAAACTACTTTTTACCCATTTATAACAGCTAATATAGTATAGCTGCGGCAGAAGCATCAGATGCATCTGAGCACACTTTATTGGACGTTGGATCTTAAGGTGGACAGGCATCAAAGATGAAGCAGCAGAAGCTTTTTGCTGCTTGCAGTCCTTTTGGTCTGAACGTAGCATTATTCATTAAAATAAGTCAAGCAACTCTCTGGATTTCATCCGCCACTGTTATTGGCAAAGAAAGGATAAGGTAGCTCTGCCTGACGTGCTATAGACCCACTTTTTGTCTGCGCAGCTAGAGCAGCAAAGATGCATCAGGGGCGCATCAGAACTAAACTTGTACAAGCTTTAAAAATGAAAGGCGTGTATTTACTGCTTCTGCTGCTTGCGGTCTGAGCATCAGGATCTTCTACCAGTTGACGCTTCTTCCTGATGCGGTTCTCCTAGTTTCTAATAATTTTTCCAACAGTATAATTTTTTTCACCAAGCTGCTTGGCAGCTGCCACTAATGATGTTAAGCTTGACACAGCTTTGAACGTTTTGAAGCAGAATTGTCACTGAGAAGTGTTTCAAGCGCACCGCCGTGACTGTTGTGAGCGAGGCCTTGTAACATTCAGACTTTGTGTCGAGTTTCACAGTGAATTCAAATAACATGGGCGTTTCAATCTACTGAAGTATTTAATTGCATCAGAGTCAAGGCTCAAACCACTGATTTTTCCATTTACAGTTTTATTTAAAGAGGAAAAAATTAAATGTATATTTTGGTCTAGTTTAGAATAGCTTCAGAATAGTTTGCTACATGCACATAGATCTAACATAGATTGAATTATATGTCTGTATCAGTATAAAAAGGTAGTAAATATTCTTCCAAGGAACTGCGGGAAAGGATGACCCTGGCTGATTTCCATTCGATCTTCTGTTCTTAGGTTTGACTCGTGTGCATCAGAGTTTGAAAACCTTTCTACCAATCGATGAGGTGAAGAAAGGTCCTTTTATGCTGCAGGTCAGAATCCAAGGATATCGGCAGACTGACTCAGGAGTCGAGGTGGACGTCTGTTTGTCTGTTACATCCCGTTCTGGATGCCCTGTGTGGGAGAGCATCCTAACTTTGCTGTCCAAAAACAGGCTCCACAGGCACTTACTGAGGAAAAAAGGCAAGTGTGACCAATATGACAGTTAGTTATGACAGTTTTACATAAAAAATGATAAAAAAAAAACTGTCCTGTGTGTGTGAGGACATTTGGATGTTCTTGTTCTAGAAGAGCAACCAAATGATGAAGAAAACATAAAGCGGGTGGAGGTAAGAGTTCCCAGGACTACCGGCCTGCAGTGCTTGTGGTCCTTCACCGACTACTCCCCACATCGCCTCCTCTCTCTGCCAGCCATGATCTGTGGTCTAAAGACTCAAACAGCACCAAGGTTCTGGATGATGTCGGTCTGCTTGGCCGAAATAGAAAAGCACAAAGGTAGGACATCAGTCAATCTGAGAAAGAAGACTAATAATTTGTGGGCGTAAAAGTGATATAAAATTCTAACTGTCCTATTGTGTCTCCAGGTGTTGAAATCCTCACAGCTCCTACCAATGTCACCGTTCAGTTTAATGAGACTGAGCCAGAGTCAAGAAAAATAACAGTCAGGTTCTGGGACACCAGCAAAGATTTGGATCAGTCTGTTGACAAACACCTACGTTTCCAGGTGCATCTGCAAGGACAGAGCACCCCTCACATGATGGGACTGATTTCCAAGGTTTAATTAACACGAATGATTGATATTTTTGCATTTTTTACTTTTTGGACTTGGTTAGTTCTGTTTTGGTCTGAACAACACTTTAAAGACTCCAGTTTTCCATTAGGCCATCCACCTCTCTCACATGCTTGTGTCGCATTCTTTACCAAGTTGCTTCAGCTGTTTGAGGTTTGCAGACATTTATTTCTGCCCAGGTGCCTCATGTTTAAAGACAGAAAAAAAGCCATGTACCCCAATATTTCACTCTCAGGCCTGCATGTGTAAAAATGAATGTGTGGTAATATATGAAGGCCTCTGACCTGTTTTAAGAAATTTCTAACTAATTGAAGAACGTTATAAAGAATCCTGAGCATCCTCTTCCATCCGACTGCCGAACAACAACACAGTATCTTCAACCAAAGGCTTCTCCATAAGTCAAACCACTGCAGAGGATTCTTTAATCAACATCTGCAACCTGTTGAAGAACCCCTTAAAATTATGAGTAACAACATCATTTTGTTTTCCTTTGGGACCGATCATGTATTTTTGAATACCTCTCGTAGTGTGGACAGTTCTCACTGTGATTGCAGCACAGCATTGCTGAGCTCCCAGGTGAACTGATGATTTTCAACATTCAAGGCATGTGGTGCTTCTGACCCTGGTGGACCACTGACAGCATAAAAAATTGTACCAGAGGAATGACTGCTGTATAATTCTACTAGTGATGGGTCCATGTTGAGCCCATAGAACGAAACACTATCAGTGTCGTTTCAAGAAAGTGATGTGACCAATACAGGGGTTGTTTCTAAATGATTGACTTACTAAAATGTGTTTGAAAACGTATGTGTCAACATATGATGTCTCATATTTTGCTGTTTATCATTAAAATGATCAAGAATTTTGGAGCAGCCTAAAAGGAATAGGTACATTTCAGCCGTTGCCGTTGTTCATTTTCATTTTCTTGTGTCATCCTGTTCCTCTCAGTTATCACTCAACTTATCTGAATTAAAGTTCATTTCAAATTGACTCTTAGTTTATATACCGTTTTTACTATAGTTAATGTTTCAAAAATATGATTTAAAATCCTAGTCCACAAGCATCATTCATGTTCCCCTTAATTTTCACATTATGATAGGCTATATGTTTACATTGTTTGTATTACATTGGCTGTATCTAAAAATACCAAAGATATTTTCAATTTAAACTTAGATATGAAATAATACAATATAATCTACAATAACTTTAATTATATCTAGTGTTGTGCCAAAGCCATTTTTTTGGCAGTATAGATATGTTTCAAATTTTGAAAAACTTTCCATATAGGAAGAAAGCTAAAAACACACAAATAACAGATATATTTGTAGTGTTGCACCGATGCCATTTCTTCACCCCGATACCTGGCTGTGCAGTATTGGCCGATACGGATACCATACCGATACCATCTGTTTGAAATTGATGTGTGTGTGTATATGAAGAACTACATACTACTTTGATGTAAAATAATGGCCATCATGGCTTTGTTAAGCTGCTGCCTACCTTTGTGAAGCAGGAAAAAGACTAATACAAAGTGAATCCAGTAGAACTTTTTATTGCCTACCTGGAATAGGTGACAATAGTTAAATAAACTTTTGGCTGTCAAAATGGTATCGGTGCCCTATTTGTTGGTACTCGCCCATACCGATACCACTATTTTGGTGCTGGATCGGGGCCCCGCCCAATACTGGTATTGGTGCAACACTATATCATTGTACTAGGTCATCAAATTAATTCAGTTTTGTCTGTCAAATAAGCTTCCTGTAGTGTCTTTAAATGTCCAGCAGGTGTCAGTATTCTGGGAGACAGTATCAACGCAGTATCAATACAGTTTGGCAATGTGATGAAATGCTTCAAGATGCTTCATGAACCCATCACTAAATTCTACTCATTTCCTAAACCTCCAACACTGCACTAGTTTTTATTAGTCACTGATTCTCTTTTTTCTTCCTTACCGACTGCCGCTCCAATGGTTATCTGGAACCTGAAGCTGCCCTGAATTTCATACAGGATGTATGAAGGAAAGGTGCATCAATATGATTTTTATCTGAATGTTGATTGGAGCTGCATCTTTTAAGATTGTTCATCTTAAATAAAATCTTAACTTCTGATGGTCTCTTTAGGTCCTGTTACTGCATTTTAATAGGGGTGGGCTCCAAAGTACAACTGGGCCATTTCAGCTTGGTTTGGTGCTGGTTTTTTTTTAGCCTTCTCCACCCCATGCATGTAGCACACTGCCATACCTTCTGCTTCTAATAGGCTGATCAAATGCCTGCTTCTACCTTTCCTCTTAAATTCTTTAGAAGCAGAAAAAGTTGGAACTAGTGTTTCCCATTACTTTGTTTCATGATGTTTACAGACTCAAAAATAATACAGTCTGAATTGCATATGAGACAGCAGGTTTGAGGTAAACACTAATGTCATTAACCAGTTACTATTTTAGAGCTTTGTGCATTAACTTCAGTTTTTAGCTTTTGGTTGCTGGAAGTCTGATGTCAGCACTCCCGTCGGCTCCTATTTCAGAAAATTATGCAGGTAGACAGCCCAGAATAACTGAAACATATTAGACATACAGAAATACATTAAGTCTCTTAAACTGAATGAAACTAAAAGATTACTGGCAAGGTGCACAATGCTTTGTACTTGAACACTATGAACTTCCAAATCTCTAAAAAAGAAAAACGTAATAGTATTAAATAATAAAATACTACTAAACTTAATAAGTAGTAATTTTCTTGTTATAACAAACTCCTAGTATTTTATTGGGATTCCATGTCATAGGCAGGGGGAGATGAGGAAGAAAATTACTAACCCAAGGCCCTTTTATGCCAGTATAAACTGAAAACTGCACACTGAGTCAATGCTATTAGATCTTAATGTTCTGTCAGTAACAGAGTTTTTACTTTTAGATTATATTTCAGCCAGTTTGGCAAATCTGAACTGTAAGTTTTGTGCATTTCTTCATTTCCAGGCTCAAATTCAACATCTCTTGTAAAGAAAAACATAGCCACCTATTTTCTTACTCTGCTCCAACTATGTCTCTCTAACAAGATGTTTAGATCTAGAACATTTAGTTTCACCTCTGGCTATATGTTTAAATTTGCTGTACTTCTTGAAGTCAGACCTCTACACTTGTCTATGCTCTTCTGCATAGGTTTCCCTTCAGGGTTGTGTACACTGTAATCAGCTTCACCTTATCCACTTGCAGAGCTTTACTATTTCTACTTAGGAAATGCATCTCCACAGGCTCCACTATGTTTCACTCTGAGTGTGTTTTATTCATAGCAATGGGTTTAGTGACATTCTGTAGAATAAAGGGCTGGTGGAAGTAAACATATTAAAAAAACACTTGGTTCAGGAAATCTCTCACTAACTTCAGTCATCATCAAATATTTTCGTTGTTTCGACATATTTACAAAAATCAGTTGATGTAATTAGGGAATTTTATTTTCCTGTGGCAAAGTGTCTGAGTTTCATGTTGCCAGTCAGACTGGGCTTCTGTTGAGTGCTGGACATTTTGTAGACCTATTGTAGACTTTGTGGGTACCATGTCTACACGCTGACCTTATTAGATTAAAACAAACATCATTCCTGCACTTCTCAATATTTCATCACTTCTTTATTCAGTATTCAGCTTCATGGCTCTGAGAGTCTGCCTTCTTGGATTATTCATATGAAAACCTTAGTGCTTGGCACTGAGAGGAGTGGCTCATGCATCGCTGCACTGCTAAAACATTTTAGTTAAAACAAAGGCTTTGTTCCCAGCAGAAAGAGAAGGAATTGTCTCTATTTGGGCTGAAACAACAAAAGAAACTGGGAGGTCAGTCACAATGCCTCCTGCTGAATACATTATTTTTAACTGATGTTTGAAAGTGTAACTGGGTTTCATACTGATGGTTTAAAGAGAGCGGGTGTTTTTAAATGTGTTTTTCAATCCAAATGCACACAGGCAAGCATGCCCCCAGGCAGACATGCAAAAGGAGACATGTCACTTAATGACTTGAGAGTAAAAGTAAAAAAAAAAGACTCCTTATCTCTGAAGTTGGAGCACATTGTAATCAAGTAGCTATTGTGAGCTAAACAGCAAGTACAAGCAGTAAGAAAAGAGAACCATTGATTCTAGCTTTCTCCTGACCGCCTTCAGATCAAGAGCAAAAAGCTCTCTGTGTCTATGTCAACACATTGCCCTGTACCACATGTGTTTTATGTATTTCTGTTTATCTTTAGTTTTGGAAAAGCGAAAATAAAATACATTTGTTTTTTATGCTTTGTATCTCAATCTTTATTTAAGATTAACAACCTTTTGAAGTATCAAAAAACCGCTGCTGCACATGAAAGGAAAACAAGGACTTGCATGAAAGCATGACCGCAGTACCCCAGGAGTAGGGAGTCATATAAATCTGTATCAGATGTGAAGCATGCATTCTTGGTTGAGTGAAAATAAAATAAAAACCAAACAAACCATGAAATACCGACCTTCTGTGATATGTTTTATTGTGTGTGGTTTGTTGTATTCAGCTGTTGTTTAGAGCATATGGCTCCTCAATACATTACTGACCGCCTCTTGATTTACTCTCCGGCACGTGCTTTGAGGTCTGGGAGCCACCCTCAGCAAATTGAGCCTAAGATGAGGATTAAAACTGGCCGGGACAAAGCCTTTTCCCATACTTTGGTATATTCTGCCCCTCCATATACGAACAGCCTCCACAACGGAGTGTTTTCAGTCTTCTCTTAAGACCCACTTTTACTCTTTGGCTTTTGAAACAGCATAATTGTGTGGTCCTCTGTGTCCTTTTTAATTTTCTATTTATTCATTTTAAACGTATTTTTTGTGTGTGTGTTGGTTTTTTGTTTGCTTTTATGTGCAGCACATTGTTGATATTTTTTGTTGTTAAATTTGCTATATAAATAAAGTGGATTGAATTGGATAATAATAATATTTAGCAAAAATACATTAGATTTATCAACACTTTTAATAAATGAATATACTTTACAACATTACTGAAAGTTTTAAAATGCCGTGGAGGATTTTGAAGTATGCTGCTTCATAGTCCAGTGAAGGTGTTTTAGGAGGGGTGTTACTTGAATGTTACTTAAAGTTTGACTTTTAAAGAAGTCCTATGTCTCTTTCTTTTTTCAGACATCCTGGCGGCGAATCTAATAACCAAACACAAACACACGCACTCACATGAAACCTATTCAAAGACTTGTGTAAATCATTACATCTGATATTACAATCAATCTAGATTATGTGACCCAGGAGAAGAAAAATTGCCTGATTTACAGAAGCAGACTCCCTCACCAACTATTGTCTTTGCACATCCTGGAACGCTTAAGATATTTAAAACATCCAAAAGCTACCAGAAAGCTAAACATAAAGACTTTCAACACTACAGTTCTATGTACGGTAGCGCATAGGATTATACCATCTAATTAAAGACCCGATTCAGTGGTGCTTCAGATGTTTGTAAAGTGAGCTTCTCAGGAGGACAACCGTGGCAGCCAATCATACAAGAGAAGGCGGAGGGCCAATCAGGAGCTTAGCGGGACCCCAAACTCAGGGAAGAGGGGTGGAGTTTGAGCTGCAGTTTTTCACTTGGTGATAGTGCTCGACGTATGTCATGTACTGTAGCATAATATTGTTTTTGGACAGGAGTCCAGAAATGCAGGAGTCCAAAATGGACTTTTTGAAAAAGTGCAAAAGTATTTGGTTTGTGGACTTTTGCTTCTGTTGCCTTTTGGATAATTAAAGCAGCTGAAACCTTTAGGTCATCTGCTGGAGCTAAACATGAAATAGGTCTCTTTGACTATTTTTTATAAATAAAATAACATGGCTTTTCTTGCTGAGTGTTGTTTTATTTTATTTTACTTTTTTTAGCACAAACTCTGTTTTTTGTTTTAGTCTCTGTCCAGGAAGTCTCTTGCAACCACAACAGCGCCGGCGAATCTTGTCGGTGGGTTGCTCACCTGCCCTGGAGAAAAAAGAATAAAGGTGGGCAAGGCTACACGTGAGGGTTGGACTCCACCGGCCTTTTTCACCGATTCTGTTCATAACTTTTACGGACAGAATTTCTAGGCACAGCCAAGGTCTTGAGGGGATCTGTTTTGGTGGCCTTAGGATAGCCTCTCTGCTATTTGCAGATGATGTGGTTCTATTGGCTTCATCAGGGAGTGATCTACAGCTCTCACTGGAGTGGTTTGCAGCCGAGTGTGAGGCGGCCGGGATGAGGATTAGTGCCTTTAAATCTGAGAACATGGTCGGAAAAGGGTAGAGTACCTTCTCCAGGTTGGGGATGATGTACTGCCCTTTGTGAAGGAGTTTAAGTATCTTGGGGTTTTGTTCACGAATGAGGGGAAGATGGAGCGGGAGATTGATAGGCAAATTGGTGCGGTGTCTGCTGTGAAGTGTGTGCTGCACCGGTCTGTTTTGGTGAAAAAGGAGCTTCAACAAAAGGTAAAGCTCTTAATATACAGGTCGATATACGTTTCTACCCTTGTTATGTTCAAGAGCTTTGGGTCATAACCAAAAGAACCAGATCCTGAATACAAGCGGTCAAAGTGAGTTTTCTCCGTAGTGTGTCTGGGCTCTCCCTTAGAGATCGGGAGAGAGGGGCGGACTCAGATTAGTCCTTCTTCTCCACGTCGAGAGGTGGCTTGGGTATCCGCTCAGGATGCCTCCTGAATGTCTCCCTGGTGAGTTGTTCCAGGAAATCCAGGACACGCTAGAGGGACTATGGATGGATAAAACAAAAAAAGAAATTGAAGTTAGGTGGAAATAGAGATGGAAAGACTATAAGGTGTTTTGGTTTGAAGTTTCTATAGGGATATATTGCATCATTGCAGCGAAGCATGGAGACAATCAGCATGTTGGGTTACTGTCAAATCCTCCAGGAAAATGCAAAGANATGTTGGGTTACTGTCAAATCCTCCAGGAAAATGCAAAGAGCATTCCTAAAACTGTGCACAAGAGGGAAACTCCAATACCTTCTGATAGATGGCCGTGTTTACTATGTACACTAAATAAAAGACAGCAGACCACATTACTTCATAACTATCAACTTCAAGCCATATATATCTCTCTGTAGTAAATCTGTCAGTCTATTTTTAATGTGTGTATATATGACCAAATTACTGCAAAAGCCTATATATATATATATATAAAAAAAAGATCTACCTTACGATAAATTCAGTAACATCTTTATACTCCAACTGATACAGAAAAAGATTACACATTTGTAACCAATCCTGTTTATGAATATGATTGAAGGGCGTGGTTTGTTCTCCGAGTGCCTCTCTGCAAGCTGGAGCAGTTGTAGTTCTTAAAAGGAGGGCTTGGCTTTTGTGATGAGTCTTTGTTTCCAGGATCTTTGTCTAAGAAAATGTTTGAAGTCTGCTGAGTGGACGGTCAGAAAGAAGCTCACAGCCCGGCTAGGATCATCCCTGACCACAGAGGGGTTCGGCTCTGAAAGCGTCAGGTAAAAGACATTTTTAAAGTGGCTTTTGTCATCATGCTTAACCTGAATCTGCTTCAGTGCTGTGATGTGCATGTTTGATAGATCAGTGTGGAAGTTACATTTGCACAATGCAGAGAAACTAATTTATCCTCATTCCCAAAACAAAACTGTTTCATACCATTGAAAAATAAAGCAGCAATACTAACCAGGCATTTAAAATTCTTTTAATCATTTATCAGTTTTTTTACTCCACAGCCTGTCTAACCTCAGTTGGCTGGTGTTTACATGCATATTATTCATTCATAGAGTCCCGATTCTGTCATGCATATGAATCAGTCAAGCGTAACGGCGTCATTTTGTCCAGTTGTTGTGCAAAATGCAATACATGTGCATCATAAAGCAAGAGCATAGAAACATGTCTTATCATGAATTTATAAGAATTTTGTATATTTATTTAGTGGGTTGGCATTTATGTTTTTTGTTAATTATTCAGATAAAGCCACAGGTTCCACAATTATTGGTACCTCTACTCTTAAACTTAGCTAAAGCTTTTTAATTACATTTTATTTATCTACAGTAGCCTGATTACAGTATCTATGATCTATCTAGCAGTATTATTTTAAGGTGTAACGAACGATATAGCAATTAATCCAATTTTTAATTTTAATCCAAGTTGCACAGACACAGTTCCAAATGTCTAACTTTATGGATATTCTAACTGGTTTATGGAAGTGCCAGTTTTCTGTCCTATCATAAACTTAAACACACCAAGTTTGTCCAACTCTATATTCACTTTTAATCCTACTATGTGCTTTGGTCAGATGATAGGTCTAAAAACACCTCATGCCCGCTGCGAGTCTGTTAATAGTAATGTAATCAACCACGTGACCAAAGCGCGCTTGGGTGACAACAACAACTCC